GCTATTATAAAAACTGAAATCAAGACTGGAAGACCATTCCGTTTGACTATATAAGTGATGCAGACGGACGACTGTGATTCAGTTATATGTCCAGAGTTGACTAAATATCCAGGAATTCAACTCCTAATTGACTGACATTCCCCCCTTAACAATCAAGCAAGATAGTGCTCACAGATAAATTTTATAAGGTGTGAGCGGTTTATGGGGCCTATACAATTACCTCCATATCAGAAAGTAAATTTGTAGACACACATTGAGGTAGCCCAAAGTGACAACTCGTCCTTAACCCACCCCAGAATCAACTACTGACTAGACGAGCTGATCTGTAACTTCGCAGAGAAGAATGTCTTCTTCAGCGATTTGGGCACCTGATCTCCAGAATCTCTGCTGACAAACCTCCTTTCAAACAAACCTTGTGTAAACAAAGTCCTCTTTGCAGCTGTGAGTACTTGCTCCGTATTCTACTTCAATTTCAAGTTCTTCTCAATAAATTTTGATGTGTATTCGTTTGAAGGCATTGGAATATTTTGTAATTTGTCTAATTCATCGTCGACAGTATCACTCATGCCGATTCTTTAATTCTTGATGACAAACAATGAATCAGATTCCTTTTTCTACTGAGAGATATCCAGCTATGGATTTTCAAGTATTGTCTATTCCATATAGGCTTCCAATGAATGGATCTCTGAAGTGAGTCATCTGGTCTCCTTTTCAATAAGACATGGAGAAAATGTCATTCTGAGTTCTCATTACGTTTGACGTAAAGTTGATCGATTGAGGATAATCATTGGACTTTTAACTAGTCTGAAGATATGTATTTTGATCGAATATGATGAATGCATCTGTTCACATTAAAGCCAAATCTCTGTGTACAGAAGAAGTATGTTCAAGCTCTTACCTTACCATGGTTCGAACACTTTCATGGCTTTGTTTCGATTTCCGTAAAAGCTGGTTAATTATTATCACCTTTATTATGACTTTTGTTTCATTCTTACCTCTTTCATATCTGTCTATCAAGTGGACCACTCAACTATCACGTTTCACAACTACTAACTTTTTTCACGCTGTCAAACTCCTTACGTTTCTCATTAGTTCCATTGTCTAAAAGATTATCAGGTAACTACTTTTCATTCTTGGTTTCGGTTTCGTTTAGCCCTAGTTTAGTGATGCAGTTCTACCTTATTGTTTTATAATAGACTGTTGTGTTTTTCATACGTATGTGTAAATACGATGATATCGTCGAAAAAGATTCTCTTCGCTGAATTATCTCCTCTTTTCTCTATAACTCGATGAGAATGTTCTAGTTGATAAGAAGAGTAAAAGTAAAATATCGACATGCCTTATCGTCTTCAATTTCATTCTCTCAGTTATTTAATTGAAAAATTCAGTTAAGGTAAGAAGTAGCTAACAAACGAAAACGATTTCTCCCTGTCGGTCAACTGACTAACCATTTCGGTCGAATCAACTCGATACATGTAGTGCTATCTGGCAACATTAGTGTCTAAACCAGACGTATATATACAGATTGAAAGGAGTCGTGTAGGTGGCTAAAATGAACTAATTGGCAGTAGATCAAATAATGGGAATCATCTGTTGCATATTTGTGCAGATAGCCACTTATTTCTATTCACAACAATCTTCATGCAAGGCGGCGACCGATATCATGCTGGCTGACATGATCCTCAGCCATTTAATTTGGTTGCACCCAGAACTGGAAGTAAATATACAAAACCGAGATGGATTCAACACTTGTTACTTATTCTACTAGTAAACATGTCGTCTCCACAAGTTCTTTACAACTGCTTCATGTCCACCGATTTAATCAAGTCAATGACGTGTACAGTGATTTGCCTAGGTTCCTCACATGAAATATTAGACAAGAAATACATAAGAACTGCGAAGTTTATGGGTCACAAGTCGCTTCACACAATGAAGTATCATCTGTATTTGACAGGAAGCTGTTTCAATGCATTATGAACAAGAAGTTTGATTTGGTTAATCACCTTGGTGACTAAACTCTCCAACAGTGTTTTCCGGATTCAAATAGCGCTCCACCCGATTTGATGTGAGCAACTGGGTTGTATCACAAACCCTCATACAATAAATGTGGTTTGTAGCGTACTACATTAAATCACGTGTGGTGAGGTGAGTTGTATTATCAGTGAACTGGCTGACATAGTGATCATTAACATTTGAAGCAATCTGTAACACTGAGTACAACACTTAAATCTACGTAGCTCACCTACTGCTACAGTGATTGTTACTTTCACTCATCGTGCTCCATGGTAAGTCGACAGTCATCGACCTGAGTGGGTGGAAGCTCCAAAAGTACCCTAAGCACTGAAACACTGTAAGGTATTTGATCACAAAAACTAACACTCGGTTCTCTAAAGGAGTTGAAGAAAAACTTTGGCAAGGGAACTGACTGGATTCATGGGAAAATATCGCAAACTCTTTGATCCCTTCTGAGTATGTTTATAACTTGTGGGCATTTAAAAAATGATTATAAAAGTAACTGTGAAATAAATGTGTTACCAATTGAGTTCAGTGTATTTGCTGTTATCAGGCTTCGGAGGACTTTCAAAGGGCGAAAAGCTGAGTGGCTAGGAGCAGGCCGAGATGCATGAATAACGTTTTCATTTCGTCAGATGCCTGAACATCGTCACATGTATTGAAGGTTAGTGGTCGTTGCTTTTGCATTCCGCGCTCCCGCCATTCACCGAGTACAACTACGCTCAGTAATTCCTTGTCTGAACCGAGTGTGAAATAATGGGATATTATCACTTTCACTTTCTGAAGCCAGGAATGGTGTTAAGTAGGGTTGTTGAATTTCACAATTCCCCTTCAACTCTACTATTAATGACATTTCTGAAATAGCTATAGAGGTATTCATGTGCTTCCGGGAGGAAGACTTTTCCAACTTAGGTGGGTATATGATAATATCTTACAGTACAAAAAGACACCGGTAGCTGAAATTAAACGGTGATTGAGGACTTTAGATACGGCTCAGAATCAAAACCAGCATCGATCTTACCGAGTTTTTCAAATTATCCCATTCCTGTAAGGTAAAATCACTGGCGAACTCTTTAAATGTATTTTATGAAACTTTATCTGACCTTTCTGTTGCTCCATAGCTCGTTTGTTTCTTTCATCTCTTTACATAGTTGTCATATTATTTTGCATGATGCATCCTTGGTCCTACAAGGTTTTTGTTTCATATCCGAAAAAAATCAATATTTGTAGGCAGGGTTGTGCACCACTTTACACTTATTATCATCACAAGCAACAAAAAATGTCGGAATCAATCTACCATCTAATTGAAGCTATTAATTCTACAGCATGACCACTGAATATGGTGAAATTATTAGCGCTCATACAGAATGTGCACTCCTAATAACATAGGAGATAGGTAACAATCACAAAACCATAACGACTAGCCAAAGCACTTGAAAAACAGGCTTTGATGAAAGGAAAATGGTCAAAACCAATGGTTACGAAATACCCGAAGACAATTCATTGGTAGTAGTGAAGTGGTAGCTCGCTCACTAAAGTGTACGTCTTTCAGGCAATACGTCGTATGTTTAAACTTTATCGCACCTATCCCGGTCTTAGCGAATGTGTAGCACCACAACCTAAACAAAGTGGCTTAAAGCCTAGCACTGAAAACACCTGGCGAAGTTGTACGGCAGGACTATACACCTTAAGTGGAAGGTTATCTCGGGTTCGACAAACTGAAAACAAAGGGATAGAATATATCAAAAACTGAGATTACTGACTATGAACTGAGAATAGATGGTAATTTATAATACTCTGAAACACAACAATGACAAAAAGTACAAGCAAATCTTCACGAGAAATTCAAACTCGTCAACAGCAAGTGCTCAACAAATGTGATCAATAGGGCATGTGTCAACAAGCTTGAAATTCCAAGACACGACGAATCGCATAACGAAGTAAAAATGAATATACCAAATTAATTAGAACTTGTCTAGAAGCAGTCCCCCAATAAATAAAATAAAGAGGCTGTCGTTCATCTCACTGACAAATCAGACGAAATATAACTGAACTCATGGTTGCTGTCTTTCCTTCACCTAAGCTGAGCCAGAATAGGTATGTAGAATATTGCAAACAAAAAAGCCATCTTTAACTTGCAAATTAAGACCAGGAGAAAACCTGAGCATATTTCCAGGAAAATGAAGTTGATGCAGTAGAAAGTGTGGACGAAAGTAGGTGGTATTCAGTGTTCCCGACCACTTTGGTTCGACACTTCGGAAACCAGGGGATTAATGGCACCAACTGACTGACAAAATCAACGTAAAACCTCGCAAACAACTGCAGCACCTCAATTCACCACACTTCACAGTAGTGCACAAAGAACAGGTTGACATAAAGTGATATGAAAGTAGTTTAAGAGTGCAAACGATACGAAGACCACAGGATGTGTACAATCCCAAGCTTTAGAAGACGTCAAGGAGTGAATACATCACGATTGTGTCTGATTTTCAGCCATGCCACCAAGAGCCCTCGACCACTGATTCTTATCGTCTTGGGGAATCCAACCACAGTCTATATCTCACATAGCTCAAAACAACAGTTAAGAATTTCATCGACTGGTGCCAAGTCTTCGTCTGGCCACCCGGAATCCTCTTCCTACCTGGTTCAACTTCTTGCATGGCACGTCGTAGGTGGTGGGTCGACATGCACAGTCTAGGGAATCTCATCCGATGAAAGTTCACAGTTTTTTAATTGACTTGTCTTTCTCGCCTAGCACCTTTCGCCTGACCTCAACATTCCTCACACGGTGATTTCACAAAACGCGAGGAATGCTACGGACTTACCAGCAGTCGAACCCCAGTAACCACTTCATGCCTCCTGCCTTTAACACGTATGCCTAACAATCGTGCAACAGGACATAACGGACTGCGGTTAGGGATATTCATCGCTTGATAGGTAGTCGGATATCTAGCTGGCAAACCACAAGTTAGTAAAATCAACATTTTCAATCAACTGACTCTTTGGTATTTTTAGAAAAATTAGACAGTAAAAATACATTGAAAATTATAAGCAGTTATTACGTTATAAAAGCAAATCAAACTTTAAGTTAACTTCTAGCAAAATTAAGCTTAATGACACCCAAAATATGTAGAGAAGCTGATTACGTTAGCCATAAAAGAGTCGATAAAAATCAGTGAAAATTATTAGAAGTACTGCAAGGCATCGGTTTCCTTCTTATCCTTAAGGACGGAATGTAACGTAAGTTCTGTGCCATGGCACGGTAATGGTTCAAATATCTTCGCATGAATGTATTCATTCTCATCTATCTTCACCTGAAAATTTTAATTTGGTAAACAATCACACTAATGTTACCTTCACAAAGTAATTTGTTCCTGCAACTACCTGACTAGCAATCTGAACAATCTCAAATTTAGCAGGTTTTCGACCAAGGTGAGATTCTAAATTACCACCTAACTACGAAAGTCAAACACGGGAACATGTCTCTAACCAGTTTCCCAAGCTTTTCTTTCTCCTCTAGGGAAGGCTCACGAGCACTACCAACACCACCACAACACATCGGCATCCTTGAGTACTGAGTCTTCGCTAGATTTCGACAAGACCGGCGTTGACTCAAGGACAACTAATTTCCAACGTTCAATATCCTTGACCAATGTTCTGCGTACATGAAACTGATAGTTCTTGAGCTTTTGTGACTAGTTCCAAAACTTGAAACCAATTGGCCGAACACTAAAAAACAATTTTCTAATTATTAAGTCTAACCTTCTTACCCCTCTTACACTCCTGTAGTGAGCATAAAAGTACCTACTTTAAGTACTGTTGAGGTAAGTGTTTCTTGTAAGCCAGATCGAGTACAGGACTACCGGTTGTTGGGAGGAATAAAGTTTGCCCTTTGTCTCTGGTGTGTATGAGCGCTTGAAGAATAAAAGTAGAGTAAGGATGAAATGGGCACGTGGGATCTTCCTAAAGAGCGGAAGTAGATAGGATGAGAATAGTGATTATACTGCAGTTAGAAAATATTAGGTATAAATTGATATGCTGACATAATATGCAACCGACGAAAGTATGACAGCTGCTAGTAGTCGTACATACTTGGGTGTTGGGAAGTAGGTAGATAGTTGATTATTGAGGCCAGCGGTATCCTAGGCATGTTGTTGGCAGATCATACAGGCTGCAACAGTTAAACAACCCTTTTTGAAGGAATCTGCTGACAGGTTTGTGGCTACATTATGCACCAGAGCAGTGTACGAGGTGCGTGCTTTTGGAGGAGAGTAGATACATCTCAGCCTGTCGTCGGTCATCTATCTCACGTTGACCTCTATGCTTTTGGGTAGGTCCCCTTGTTTTCGTGCATCATATGGTAGGTCGCTATGAAGCTGTGGTGAGATCAGCCATCTTTCTTTGATAGTCAGCGTATGCTAATCGTGATATTTCAGTATACCGAGGTACGATTTTCTCTCTGTCCTGAAGACCGCTTGTGTTGCAGTTCACTGTGCCTGCCAAGAAGACTAGGGTCTCATTGCCTTCAGGTGTCACGATACTAGGTGCTTTCGAACATTTGAGACTAACTCTTGTGGAGTGGTGCCTGGCGAGCTCAGTGAGAAATATGAAAGACTGTTCGCTGCAGCTATCATTCTCTTTCCAGTTACAACCGGTGTCTAGAAAGTCAGAGCAGTTGGACATTTGTCTTTTTCTGTGGACAGTTTCTCGGTGACATTCTCACTGAACCTGAATTCTTGTCCTTACTTGGCCACCATCGTCTCATTTGTTCAAAGGTGTATTGTTTTACACTACTCAGGGTTGAAGTGCAGTCCCTTCCCTAACAATGAGGATTCAGGCAGCGGGTCTGTTTGCGGTGATCTAGAGTTATTTTCATTCTCTGCTATCCTAAAAATCCGTGATTTCATCTGGAAAATGTTGGATGGGTGTTGAAGGTCTCCAACAGACCACAGAAACAACAGTTATTCCGAATCAGATTCCCAGGATACTCCGGGGTTCAGTGACTTCCACGTGAATCCCATTCACTTCACTTTGGTGTAGAAGTGAAGTGAACTTTGAAACAAGAAAAAGGGAGTTCGTTTAAGCTTAATAAAGGTTATTTTTGGGGCACAATGCATACGGACGCTATCGGGTGTTTGAACCAAGCTAGTGGTATAGAATTCAGCTGGTATTCCGTTACCCATCTAGCTTTTCAGCCATCCCAAGCGATAGCCAAGCTGACGACACACTCGGAAGCAGTGCTGGGTTGAATGCTCTATTTCAATCCTGTTTATTAAGTCCTAGCTCTCGTCTGGTAGCACGTTAACAAGTATTGTGAGCAAGTTTGGCTTTAGGATAACTGATTTGGAGGACTAAAGGGATTTTCAGGGTGGGATTCCCTGAGTGGGATATTATCGTCTACGGAGGAGGTAGAAAATGCGGAGGCCGTACGGAGCAAGGGCACGAAGAGTGAAGTATAGACAGCTGTTTTGCGAAGCGAATACAGTCGGTTTCTAACTCCGGTTGACCCCACTGGTTCCGGGAATGTGAGAGGCACTGTTAACAAGCTCAAGAAGGGCACGGAAGAACTAAGGAAGACCAGGGCTAGGTCTGAGGGGAAACCCAGCCGCCACCGGCCAATGCGAATCACTCATGAGCTTGTCAAACAAGTGAATGAATGACTTACGAGGGAGGCCGAAGCCGAACAAAAATGTGAAGTTTAACATAAGTCGCCCGGGCGCAACAGTTAGTAAAGCAAGCCATTACCCAAAATGGTTTTGTGACAGATGACAGCAATCTTCCATACGGCCCCCAAGATACGAACGACAGGGTTCTGTGGGAAAACTTGCGACGAAGCTGAACTGCGATGTGTCAGCAACTACAACTAGACTCTCAAGTGGTCCTGGTTCAATAAAGAAAGATAAGCCCCAAATTTTAAGTTAGTCAGCCGTCGAACCGGATGGTGCTGAGGATTTGCTGTTGACAGGTGACGTGCTATAGCCCAGGGGGGGTGAGTATAATACCAGGTATCCTACATTTTGATCGAGTGGCTATAAGGAAACTCCAAGTTGACGGTCGCGATGCGCAGTTTAGAGGAGGAAACCTGATAATACAAGCGCACATAAACACCTGGGTACAGAAGTCATCCGCTACGGTTCCCGTGAGTGGAAGAATACTATGATGCCTACGGATGCCTAAACGGAGCGATGACCCTAGACCAAGACCAATCTAAATGGTCTTTCCGACATCCCCAGAAACAGCATCCAAATAGGATGCATTCTGGGCCAACAGAAATCGCCTCTAAAATGGGGCCGATGCCCATTCTAACAGGTCACGGAACGAGCGGCTGAAATGAAAAAGAGAAAGACTGGAGCTGGTCGCATCTTAGGAGGGCTGCATGGACGCATAAGACGGGGCAGACACGGAGAGCACTTCGCTGGCAAACCGTACTCAGGCAACTTTCCAGACCCCACGCCTGAGGACTTAGCCGCGCAACTGGACAGCAAAGAAGGCTCAGGAAGTGGGTTCAAAGCAGATAGCATAAATTACATTTGTGCAAGTGCGCATACTTTACCGAATGAACTCTGTGAACCACATTGACTGGGTAGGGGCACTTATGTTCTTCCTACAAGTGTTGCTGAGACACGGGTTTCTCCCGGGATGTCAAATCGGGAGCTGGCAACTGCCAACATCGTGCTCGGTGAGGGTCATATATAAGAAGCCGCCGACTGACGTACAGTGCGACGGTCAAACGCCAGAGGCAATTAGTTGTTCCCTTAGGAGGCTTCAACCTACCGAAGATTGACTCTTAAAATCGTACGTTTGGCGGGAGTGACAATTCCAGTGAAACCCGATCCTTAAATCTAACCGAGAAACTAAGGTCGACAAGAGATGTAAGACCAGATACGCGATAAAGAGTAAATTAAACCCCATCACCAACATAGAAATCTTGACTATGAACGTTGTTATGAGCTTCCAGAATGCCCGCAATACCAAACCAACTTCGGATGGGTGAACAAACCGTTTTTTCGGACTGAGCTGAAAAAGACAGGACTAAGTACCGCAAGATTCATTCTTGACAGGGTCAAGCGAACCCTATCTCAGTCTGTTCCACTTCCAATGCCGAAGTGCACCAGATCGCCCAAGTAAGCAATCAGTTGTACTCGCAGAGTTGTCATTGTCGTTATCCGTCCTTTTCGTTCCTAGCGGAATATACGACTCCAGTGGCATATCTTCATTGCACTTTCTTGTTTCTGGTCCTGTCAACTGGCTTTCCCGCACTGATTTCTAATTTTCTGAAACTTTCTGTAGTGAACTCATGCAGTTGCCAACATTATAGATGGTACCATATAGGAAAACACAGCTGCAATAACTGGGCTGAACGGTCATAATTGCAGAAAAATGTGGGAAAACAACTGGTTCTAAGAAATAAACTTACCTAGAGACCCATAGTGAGATACGTCTCCATTACACTCTCTTGTTTTTAGTCCTTCAACATAGCCCCACGGCTACCAGTAACCTTTCATTTCTTCCTCATATCATCTCCTCCATGTCACGCTCAGACGCCCGACCCGTCGCCTCCCCTTTAGGTTCCACTCGAGAGCCTGGCCTGGCGCGTGATTTCCCCAAAACGGTCTTCTCACCATGTGTCCAATCCAATCCATCTCCACCTTCTTCTTCCGCATATTTGTCGGGCGATGGGCTGTTGATTGGTTCATTGCCGGGCCGCCGGAGTTCCTTGTTGCTAATTCTTATTATTCTGGCCATCTGATCTTCAGTGTCGGCATTGGACGTGCGTAGTTGTCAGCTTATGGTGAGTGTCTGCAGTTTCCTGGACGTGCTTTTCGTGTGGCGCCGTCCAGTGAAATAATGTCGCTCTCTGAGTATCCTCGTGTTTTTACGCAATCCCTTCAATCACCAAGTCGTTAAATGCGCAGAAGTCTTTTGCCCTCGCATCCACCCCTCTTCACTTCTCTGTCCAGAGTCTTATACGTTGTACTCGTTTCCCCTTTCTACTGTTCATCGTTGCAATGGTTAATCTTCTGCTTCCATCAGCTCCCATGTGTCCGTCAAGATCCATTCTTTGTCTTGTTTCTAGCTTCTTCCTAACACGGCTACGCAGGTTTCCTTCTACGCCTCTTTCAAAGGGTTCCAGTGTTCTTCCACACAGGTTTCCTTGGGGATAGTGCTTAATGTCTTCCGCTTTTTCCCGATAGCTGACATGAAGATTTCCTTCGTAGTTTCTGTTGTGATGCCCCAGTTTTGTGCAAAACACCGTTATTGATCTGTAGATTTTAACGTATCACTCCCACACCATTATTACCGTATGACTAGTGGTCTACTTTCCGCCCCCATTGTAATGTAAATCGCTGATTGGTTAATCTTTACTCTTACTGCGCAAATGCCTCAAATTGAGGACAAGGTCACCTTTCATGTGTATACCCATTCACCTGTTCTGGGTCGATTTATTATTTTATTCTCGGAGAAATGCACTCTCCCATCTGCCAGCTCCAGTCTTCTCTCTATTCGTCCCGGGGTTGCCAACAGTGACCCTTGCGCACTAAGTTAACTGTCAGCTGAGCGTGCGTACTATATTCCCTTCGGAATTTATATAACCATTAGCGTTCGAAAACATAAGAGTAGCGGCTGGGATTGGGTCA